AAAAAAAAAAAAAAAAAAAAACAAAAGCTTTCTTCAGAAGAGTCACTGTGTTCAATACTTTAACAGTTTGCTTAATTTTATCTCTATCAATAAAAGCTTTGCCTAGGTGTTTACCTAAACACATAAGGAGCATTATATGACTCGTACAATAATGTCATACAAATACAGGTATAAAGTCATTAGCTTTGCTATAAAGATTTTGGATAGTCTCTGTATAGCGTTAAAAAAAAAGAAAAAGCCAGAATATAAGTAAGTGCAAAAGGTAACTTATTACTAGACACTTGATAATTGATCCTGATGAAACTGTCAACAGTTACGCCAGGAAGAAATGAAGTAACAAAAAAAAAAGCTTATTCTTCGTCTACTTTTGCTGATAGAGTCTTTGTTCGTTAGTTTTTTTGTGCTACTGACTTCCCGCTGTTGTACAAAATTTCCCTTGGAAACAATACTGCTGATCTTTTGCGCTATAGATAAGTGCGAATTAGTGCTATATGGTCTATGACTGATCTATACAGACTGCGCTTTATAAACTTTAGCTAATTAGCTGCTAAAAATAACCAATTACATGATTTTTTTCTTTTGACAAAAAAATAACAAGAATTTATTTGTAGGATATTACTTTAATAATTCTAATGATATCGGCGTTAGTATCATTGGGATTGTCTTTCTACAATCCTCCATCTGAGCACTGTAAGTCTTTTACATTTCTTCTTGTTCCCATCTTCTTTTTGTTCTTTCAAATACAGACTACGTCTTTGAATGCCACTGGTCAAAAGAGTTCTAACGATATCTTTTGTTACACATCATTAGGTTGATTAGATGTTCTGTAGCATCATTTTTTTGCAGAAACAAATAAATAACAAAGTAGAGCATTTTTGAACTGATAAATTTAATAAACAAGATTTTTTTTTCTTTTTTTATGAGAATGTAAACAAGATTTTCAGCATCAGACTCCAGCGAACATACTGCTGGTTGGATTGAGGGTGTTGCAATATTGGTCGCCGTAATAGTTGTTGTTTTAGTTACTGCCTTAAATGATTGGACAAAAGAAAAGCAGTTTAGAAGTTTGTTAATTTTATCTTCTTTCTGTTTTTCTGTTTCTGAATTTTATTATTGCTAAACAACATCTTTGTAATCATCACCAATTTAGGTCTTCAGTCGAAAATCGAAACAGAACATAAGTTTTCTGTAATTCGTGGCGGTGATGCTCAGGATGTCGTTGTTTCCGATTTGGTTGTTGGTGATATTGCGCGCTTAAAATATGGTGATACTATCTTATTCACTGGAATTATTTATTCT